ACTGCTATAATAAATTAGGCTTTTTCCTCCAATTTCATGAAAAATTTGTCTGCTATAATGGCCATATGAATTCCCATCACTTGAATTTGGAGTGGAACATGGGAGTGAAATTGAATTGGGTTTATGTTATGTTCAAATGATCTTTCTTTGTATGGGACTGGTTTTCTTCATATTTCACATTATGATCCAAAATGCTGAAAAGGTATAATCGATTGTCCTGCAGGTATGAGGACGAGCGGTATGAGCCGGAGATAGAAGTAAGCGATTATTCCTTAGCGCCTCCGATTTTTGATTAGTTGTTGTATTTAGGAAGGAGTAGAGGATGATGCTGAGATTAAGGAAACTGATGATAGCACTGATAAACCTATTGAAACATAGGATAAGACTAGAGGAGGAACCTGCACAATGGGCACCAAAACATCAACGTTCATGACTAAATATGAGCGTGTTTGGATACTCTGGTCTTCTGCTCTCTAGATTAAGTCTCTGATTCCGCCTTCATGGACTAGCAATTTATGTATGATAGATATATTCTCATCTTCTATCTTAAACAAACTTTGTTTTATTTCCGCATTTCGTTTATTATTTTTCGGGGTTTATACAGCATGAATGCTCTTGTAATGGTGGAGCTGGAGGGGGAGACTGATCCACTAGAGGTTGCTTATTCTTACCTCACTTACTTTAGCTCTTTCTCTATTTAATGCGTTCAAGACTTTTTAGCTGTTGCTGGCTTATGAGCTACATAGATATATGAATAATGTTGAAGTACTATGAATCTGGCTCACAAGATTGAAATGAAGGAGCTTAGACAAAGTAAGTTACCTAGCGCTGTCAAAATGGGCCAAAATCCGCGGGTCGGACCAGACCCATCCCACCATGGAGGCGGGTATGGGCTCAACAACGTCAACCCAAAAAAACGCGGATCTCATGGGTTGACCCATGACGGACAGTAGATTTAGCGGGCAAAACCCATGACAGACTACGGATTAATGGGTAACCCGCTAAATTTTC